TGATCTTGGGACAGTTGCACGGCTTCTCTGAGCTTCAGTTCCTGGAACTGTCAAATGGCAGCGGCAATGGCCTACTTCACACGTCGCGATGAGAACTGGTTGTTGGTGAGCGTGCAGGACTCCGGTGACCCTGCTCCTACTCTTGTGATCATCAAAACAACCTGGACGGGCCAGCCCCACGTGGGCCACCTCTGTTCACTCCCTGAGTCCACCGTGAGCCGGCCTTAGCACCTGGACCCATCGCCAGTGCCCCCCCCCCAGTGCCATGATGCCGTGATGGGAACATATACTCCACTGGAGACTTCGGGAGGGGGCGGCAGGGAGGACTCACGGCACCCGGCACGTGGTAGAAACAACAAAGTTCCCCATTAAACACCTAATTCTTTCTTCCAACGTCTTCCTCACCTGTTGTCAGCCCCTGCCTCTCCTTCTCTCTCCACAGTGCAGGATCTAGAGCTCTTGCTGGGTGTGCTGAGCAGGGCCGTCCCCACGTGTGGCCCCGTCCCCACACTGCAGGCGTGGGATGGGAAAGGCCTGACCCCCCCCAGCAGCGGGGTGGCACCGAAGCACCTAATCACCTCCCTGGGATTCTCCTCAGGGAAGGAGGAAGACAAGTCGGCCCCAGTGTGAGAGGCGACAGGTTCCTCTCATTCACGGCTTGTCTGGGGCTGCCCCGGCGTGCACGGCGGCGGGGGCTGTAGGCCGCTCTGACTCTGAGGCCTTACCCTTGTCAGCCCTCCATTCGCGCCCTCCTGGGCCTTACGCAGGTGACAGGTGTTTCTGTTCCGTCCTGCCTTGGTGAAGTTTAACAAGAATCTCGGAGATGACCAGATTGACTCTCTCCATCGGTCGTGATAGAAAGGGAACCGGAGCAGAAAGCCCTAGACATCCTTTGCGGAACCAGACAAAAGGCCTGGTTTCCGGGCAGAACAGACCCCCCTCCCCAGCTGCCTTTCTTCCCGAGGGTGGGTGGGCAGCTCGCCTCCTGCCGCTCCAGGCCTGGAGCGCCCATCACACCGCTCTGCGTGGTGATAAGAGGTGCTAATGGAGCATAAGCTCTACCGTCCTAGTGCTCAGAACTTGAATCCTGAGCTCCCTCACTTACTAGTGGGCGAGTTACTTACCCTCTCTGGGCGTCAGGTTCCCCACCTGTAAATCACAGATGATGTTACCTGCCCCAGAAGATTATGGTTCAGATCCAGAGCCCGGCACAACACACATTCCCAGGAGAGTTTGGCTTGTTTGTGTCTGGTTTTGGCAGAGCTGGGCGTGGGGTTCCGTGGCCACCCAAGTGGACGCCGGCGTGCCTTCCTCGGAGGCTCCCCTGCCCCTTGGAGCCCCACCTCCCTGCCCACCTGGACCGTGGGATCTCAGTCTCATCATCTGTTGTCCTCACATAAGAATAGACCAGTGGTCCTCAGCTGGGGCAATTTTGCCAAGCCTCCTGCGCCCGGAGGACATTTGGCAATGCCCGGAGACATTTTTGGCTGTCACGGCTGGGGTAGGGGTTGCTCTGGCATCTAGCGGGTAGGGGCAAGGACGCTGCAGTGAACAGGACGCGGGCCCTCACGGCAGAGAACCATCCGGCCCCAAGTGCTGCCAGTGCTGGGGCGGAAACCCCTGAACTAGACCAAACGGATCATTTGGTTTCCTTTGTGTCCAGAACGTATACTGTGCTCACGGAGAGAATGGCATTTTTTATTAAGTGGAGGGAAAAAGTTGTTGGAGGCAACCATGGAAAAAGTACACTTGTGGACAAAGCCTCTGAAAAGAAAAACAAGGATTATTATCAGGAGAGTAAAATCTCAGATGATTTTTATTTTTGTATTTTAAACCTCCCCATAATGTTACTTGGGCAACAAATAAAGAAGAAGAAACGAAGTGCTCTAGGATTTGGCACAGGATTCAGCCGGTAATTTAAACAAGCAAAGCAGCACGTGGAGACTCAGTGACCTTCAAACCATCTCCACTCACCTGATGGTGCAATGTGTGTGCATTCCCCGTGCACTTTGCAAATGCACCAGATAGAATCACACTAAGCAAAATCAGCATTTCGAGGGATAAGAAAATCCATCCATGTGAAAATAGTTTAAGTGGGATTTGTAATTCACTTAATTTTTACTTCATTGTTCATTAAACTGGAAAATGACAGCAATTGCCAGGGCCGATGAGGTCAGTTGAGACAAAAAAAATTCTGGTTCGACTGGTTTTTCCTTTTTTAAAAAAAAAATTTTTTTTTGCCAGAAATTATTTTGACTTGCCAAGTCATTAAAAATCGCCAAACCAATCTGTGTGTATAAATAGAGCCAAGGCAGAACAGTAAGGCCAAGGAGAAAAAGTAGGTCCTTTAAAAACCTTCTACATTATAGGATGGATAGCTTCCATAATAACAAAAGAAAAAAAAAGACAATTATAACCAAATGAAGAGGCCAAACATCAAAAGACATAATTAAAATGAGGTGGAAAAAGACTCCAACACACAACATTAGAGGTTCATCAGGGCAAGATGCTTAAAAGTCCTATTCATTCGAGGCCAGAGAATGGCTTAGATCCTAAAATACTGTGCTGTTAAGGAACTAGTTACTCGCCACATTTCTTGTTAGCTGAACATGTGAGATACAATAAATGCTTTTAGTCACTGTCAGCACAGTGCGGATAATTTGCATATGATTTACATATAATCTTTGTGCAGGCAGATTACAGTGTTCACAAGTCTAATCTTTCTTTTTTTTTTCCAAGAGAAGGATCCATTGACTAATGGATTTTTTCAGATATGTTAGAGTTTTATCAGCTTTTGTTATTTGTGCCTCTAACCACTGAATATTAGCAAGCTCATAAATTGTCCTTTTGATTTATATATCAACACTCTGATCGAGACAAGGAAGCGTGACAATCTAACCTTTGAAATGGTTATATAGTGTGGGGTTGAGCTTAGTTTTCAGTAGAAAATGCCACAGTTATAAAATTATAAACTGCATTATTTATGAGAGAGAAATGTGACTTGACAGAAATTAGCTCAAAGGCAAAATTCTGTAATGGGTACAGCTTATTTGATCTGCCCATTCTAGCCTGTCTAGTCTTGCTGTAGCAGGCTGCTCATTTCCTCATTGATTCGTTCACGCTGCACTCCACAAATGATTCTAGGACACACGCACCTGCATACAACACACACATACACACACAGGGAAGTTGAGATGAGAAAGCTAAGGACAAGGAATTAAGCCAGGGAGAGATTATCCCACAAAATACAAGCCACACAGAGTTAAAGTTCCCAAAAAAAGCTACCAATTTGGTACCACACTTCTGGGCAGCCAAAGCAAAAAGTGCACGCCGATTATTACAAGGTGCACAGAGAAAAAGTTGTTCAGAAGTAGAACATTTCTTGACTGTGAGATTTGAAAGAAAATTCCCTATTGTGTCTTGTGATGACAAATTCTCCAGGGATTTGTTACATAATAGTAAAATGTGTGTTTTCTGTTTCATTACTTTCTGCATTTACCTGCATTGTTTTTTAAAATATATTAATAGAACATAATTTTGAAAAAACACTGCCCTAGAGAAACTCACATATGAGCACAAGGGAGCATGCATAGAGGTATTTGTTACCGTATTGTTATGTTAGAAACTAAGGACATGCTCATCAGGAGGAGAATGGATACACAAATTTTGATATATCTATACATTGGAATATAATACAGCAGGTTAGAGTAAACATATGAGTTAGATTTACATAATTAACATGGATAATCACAAAAACATTAAAAAGAACAAATTGGACTATGATACATATAATATGATTTGATATAAAGTTTAAATCTCCTTGAATAATTCTATATATTGTCCACAGATACATACAATTAACAAAAATATATAAACATGGATGGAAAGGGTACACAACTTCAGAACGGTGACTATCTGCAGGACGACGGTGACCATGGCACTGTGAGCCCCAGGTGGGGGTGCAGGTGGCAGGAGCCCCGCCGTATCTGTGATGTTGTGAAATACTTAATAAATGTCTGGTCTCCAGTTCCTGACAACTCCTCAAACCCTTAGAATCTCCAGAGTAAGAACATCTTTTTTTAAATTGTATTTAATTTTTTAAAAATGGGCATATAATTGTACATATTTATGAGGGGTACCTAGTGATGTTTCAATACCTGTAATGTGTAGTGATCAGATAGGTAATTAGCATGAGTGTCTTCTGTATGCTAATGAGATGACTGGTGGCCGGGGGTCACCTAGATAGCTTCGGGGTGGTGGCTGGTCACAGAAAAGACCAAGGCATGGTTAGGGGGGCTGAAGGTTAAGTTGATCACCAGTGGTCAATGACTTAATCAATCATGCCTATGTAATGAATCTTCCATAAAAACCCCAAAAGAATAGGGTTTGGGGAGCTTCCAGATAGTAGAGCACATGGAGGTGTCTAGAGGGCATGGAAGCTCTACGACCCTTCCTACACCTCCCCTGTGAGTCTCCTCTGTCTGGATATCCATCTGTATTCTTTGTAATATCTCTTGAAATAAACAGGGAACGTAAGTAAAGTCTTTCCCTGAGTTCTGTGAGCCACTCTAGCAGATCAATCAAATCCGAGGAGGGGGTCATGGGAACCCCAATAGATAGCTGGCTGGTCAGAAGCACACTGGGTTTTATGATTGGCATCTGAAGAGGGGGGCAGCCTTGTGGGACTGAGCCCTTAACCTGTGGGATCTGGAGCTACCTGCTGGAGATGGTGTCAGAATTGAATCGAATTGGAGGACACCCAGCTGGAGTCTGCGGGAGAACTGCTTACTGCGTGGGGAAACACCCATACATCTGATGTCAGAGCATGGTGTCGAGGAGTGTGGGAGAGTAGGCAAAACACTGGTCGGCTGTTTTCTGTTTTGTTTTTCTATCTCTGAGAGTATCTGTAAGACTCTTCAAACAACAACCTGAAGCCAACGTGGCAAGCCAAAACACGGGCTAACCTTGGTGGTGGGCACTTGGATGTCTATTGTATTCTTCTCTGGACTTTTCGGTGTGTTGAAATATTTAATGTCGAAACATAAAAATTTAAAATAATGAAGGACAAGTTTGAGGACAGATTTTTGAAGGATCCAGAAGACTATAAAGATTCTAGCTTTATTCTCTAGACAGAAAGGGTGTTTGATCACGGTGCAGCCTTGACAGAATTGTCCTGTAGAAAGGTGACTCTCACAGCCACATGGAATGGATACAAGGAAGGATTGGAGACAAAGGTGTGTTAGGAAGGTGTTGTAGAAATGGCCGTTATCAGGAATATGGGGGACAGATTTCAGTCTGACTCCTGTCTCCTTGTTTTGGCCGCCTGACAATAAACCTTTCTCAATGCAAAAACAAAAACAAAAAAACGAAAAAGAAATATGGTGCAACCTATATTACTTATGAAACATACACATATTTGCTTAAAATATGTGAGCCAATCTCTTGTTTTGTATCCCATGATACACGATTATCTCCATCTTTCTACTTGAAGGTCATATTCTCAAAAGTTGTCCCAGGGGGATTACCGCAGCCCTCACTGTCCCATCTCCCCACCAGGCCCAATGTTTCTTCTGTCTCAACTGTAGATTTGTGGTGGAGAAGATTGTGGTTACTGCAGAGAGTGAACGAGAAACATTGAGAATGAGGGTGAGGAGGGGATCAGGAACCAAGAAAGATTATTGCTCCTATTAAGAATACCCCAAGGGTAGCAACATAAAATTAAAACTGAAAGTGTATTTTGTGCAAATCACATGCCAATTCACTGGTGACCCATCTATTTTAAGTACTGGCTTAGTTATATGTGATTAACAGGAACACATCAAATCTACGAAGGCACACAACTCACAGCCCCTCGCGGCAGCGCGCTGTGTCTGCGCCTGCCTGGAGATCATGCCAAAGCACGCTGGTTGCATTTTCCCGGAGAGCAAATCTGCCTGCAGGAGAAGCTAGCTGGAGGCCTCTCACCTCTGCCCTTTTGCTGCAACTTGCCGCTTGCTCTGCGTTTCCCCAAGCAAGTGCCTTCAGGATAGTCAGGACTTTCCCGCAAACCAGAACACTGTGATTGACACAGAGCACTCCCAATGCCAGCTGTGGCTCTGTCTGCAGTGGGTCCATTCCTACCAACGTTTCTGCTTCCTCTCCCCACACTCCAGGGCCGGCTGCCAAGAGCCGCTATATGTATATAAAGTCTCAAAACTGTGCTGACTTGACTATGCATTCGTGCAATCCATCCTCACAGTCTTTTGTTCATAGGTAACCGTCCCTTCCCAGTCCCCACGGGGCTGTTTCAGAGGGGACAGCTATCTCAAGTCCCTCCCACACTCGGGCTTTCCTCTGCACTTTCAGAACGTCAGAGCCCGGCCTGTCCCGAAGCAAGCCTGTGGTTCGGCTCGCACCTGCCGCCCTTGCCTGCTCTGCCTCCATTTCCCCACCTTCCTCCGCTTGGGGAAATTGGGTTTAGTGGCTCCAGCACAGAGACTAGGGATGAACAGGTGACGCCAACTGGCTCTTCAGCCCTCGGCAGCGATTGGATCAGAGGCGATCGCATGTCCCGGGGGCTGGCCAATCAGAGTAATTCAAATCCCTGGCCATGGTGATGGGTTCAAGGATGAGCTTCAGACCCAAGTCGGGCGTGATCCAGGTCGATGCCGAGACTCAGGTATGACCTCCAGGACCGAACCTCCCTCCTTTCTCGCTGCCCTTGATCGTAAAAGGACGAGTCCCTGTCACTGCCAGGGACTGAACAGTGGCGCCTGAGAACTGGAGGCAAGAGAACAGAGAGGGAAAGACACTGGGATCTGCTGGCTTTGTTGGAACTCCTAGATGCACCCCTACCTGAAACCAGCCCCATGCTGGTAACCAGCCCCAGACCAAATCTCACCTGAGGTTCACTGTCTTCAGGTGAGCCGGTTTCTAATCAAGCTCTCTCACAGGATCATCTTACTGCACAAACCAGTGACTTGCTTTTCGTGCCAGCTGGTCTGAGCAGGGCTTTCTGTGGCCTGCTGTGGGGAAGTCCTGGCTAATCCAGGGCCCTGTCCCGTTCTCCAAAGCAGCGTCTGCAGTCCTTCACGGCCGCGCACAGCCCGTCCCCGCACACTCGAGAGGAAAGAGCACCATCAGGCAGAGCCCCAGCTTCTCCCTCTGACTTCTCGTCCACTGCACCTCCGCCTCTGTTGCAAGCCATAGAGATGTCCTTCCTCCTGTCCGGAGAGAGCCTGCCACCTCTGCTCTGTGCCCCGCCTGCCCCCCTCCTGGACTTGGTTTTAGCAATGGCTCCCTCTCACTTTTAGCTTCCATCTCTCCTGCTCCACGGCCTTGATCTTCAGCATGTGAACTGATAGATGTGCCTCTCGTTTGGAAAAGAAGAAAGAAAGGGAGGAAGAGAGAGAGAAAAACAACTTTCCTTCTTCTGGAAAAATCCATCAATATGTTATCCATTGCTTTGCTTCAGAACGTGTTCTGTTCGGAACTCTCTGCCCTCACTGTACTTCCTCGCCGTCCACCCCCTCTCAGCCCGCTGCAATTAGGATGCGGCCCCTGCAGTCCCCGGCTCTGCCAAGCGCGGTGGCCTACTTTCCACACTCGCTCCTTTCACGGCGGCTTCTGCCGACTTAGCCTCGATTCATCCTGGCAGGCGCCGCCCGGAGATCTTGCGCGCCTTTCAGAGGCTCTTCCTCTGCTTTCCATCCTCGAAGCCAATGATGTGCAGCTTTTTTGGGGGGGATTACAAAACCTGTCGAAAAGTTGGCAAAGTGCACGGTTTGTTTCCCTAGAAACACACACTTTGCATGGCACTGGTCGAGGTTCCTGGGGACACACTGCACGGTGCGCTCCGGCGAGTGTCTGCAGAGCGGGCTGCGCTGAGAGGCAGATAGTTCCCATGCTGGGGCGGAAGAAACTTTCAGGCACCCCGACGCCGTGCGGCAGGACAGTTTTGCCTCTGCCTGGTGAGAACGCTTCCTACTATAAAGCTGCCACCCAGTCACTGGCACAAAAGTGATCTGCCTCCACCAGGACCTGTGCCGGCAAAGTGGGAGCCCTGCACGCCACTCTTCTCTCCTCCTCTGGTGACTACCCCAGACCAGATCTCACCTGAGGTTCACTGTCTTCAGGTGAGCCGGTTTCTAATCAAGCTCTCTCACAGGCTCATCTTACTGGCAGAACCCACATCTCACCCAGAGTCCTAGCTTCAAAGAAGGATGGGAATGTAGTTTCCACTTGTCCAACCGCTGCACTTCTAGAAAGGGATGGAACGGGAGCTACTAGTCTATCTACTGTATCACCACACGCTTGCAAATGCAGAATTCAGAGACTGAAGTTTAAGAAGCATATTTTGAGGTCACCTAGAGATATGATCTAGTTGAAAGGGATTTTTAGAAGGAGGAGAACTGTCTTTTTTGTTCCTTACCCAAGATAAGGGTAAACAACATTCTGAAATGACTCACAGTCTTCTGCTGAAGATGGAATTGTTCACTGTTGGATAATCCAGCTGCCAAAATGGTGGACACAGTTATGTCCACCAGAGAAGTGTGTGTGTGTGTGTGTGTGTGTGTGTGTGTGTGTGTGTGTGTGTGTATAAAAGGGCTGTCCTGAAAGTATCCGGCCATGTAACCATTCTCGTTATATTAACAATGACTAGGTACTTTCTGGACAGCCCTCATGTAAATGTGTGTGCGTATATTATACTCACACACACACCCCTACAGAATAGTGGATCCTTGGGATCTTCAATTGAGATGATTCAATTACTCTCCCATCTCATGTAAGGACAGCTCAGTGGTCGCATTGAATCCCGGTCCTGTTAGCTCCAGGCAGGCGTGATTTTGAGCAATTCTGTTGATGTTGTATTTTTTATTAGCTTAGAGAAAGAAACTCTGGGAAAGAGGGGTACGGTTCTGGGTGAGTGACTACCTTAAAAGCCAGTTTATTAACACATATCCCTAGGACACAGGAAAAAACAAATGTCCTGGTATCCTATAACATTTCTGAACACTTTCTCCACCGGACACAAAGTTGCCTGTCTTTATAGGACATTCTTATCTCAAGGTCCTGAAAACATCACAACTCAAAATACCCCAAATTATTTAATTTTCCTTCCAACATTTGCTTTTCATTCAACATTTCCTATTTCAATTAATCAACATCTATCCTTTACCCGAATTAGAAACTTCTGAGTCACCTGTCATTTCTCTCTCTTCCCTCTGTCATACCCAGTTGGTCATTAAGTACTGTTACTATCATCTTCTAAATCTCTCTCAAGTCTGCATCTTTCCCTCCTCCTCTGCGCTTGCCTTAATAAGGCCTTCTCAGGAATTATGGGCATCTCACCTGGAGTTACAGAAAAGCTTGACTCCTTTCCAGCCCCACCTGCATCCCACCTGTGCCTGGGAACGGGCACCACACAAGCGTCTGGCTTGCGACCTGCCCTCTTCTACACCAAGCCATCTTGAAGAAAATCGTTTCTCATCCTTGGACTTGAGTTCCTTCATTTGTAAAATGAAAGGGTTGGAGGACATACTCTGCAAGGCCCCTTTCAGCTCAAACTTCCGGAATTCTAGTTCTAACCATTCTGCCTTGACCTGCCTATCCCACAGGGTTGCTGTGCAAATCAAGAGATAACACATGTGCATGTGTTTGAAACCTCCAGCTGATTAGGTTTTAAATCTCCAGGCGTGTGATTAATTACTCCCAATTCTTCATTGTCACTTCCACCTGGCACTGAAGGTATGATAATAGCTAAGAGGTATTGAGCACTCACGGTGTGCCAGGTATTCATTATTTCATTAACTCACATAACAAGGGAAGTCTGCCATCACTTACTGGTTCTTAGGACGCGGTCTACCTGTTACCAGGTAAGCCGCATCCCCTGCTCCAGATGCCCAGATGAAACAAAGACTGCCAGGAAGTTGTCCATGGTGCAACAGAACCGCAGACTCTCAGGGATGGATGAGGCGGACACCTCTTCCAGGCGGGCAGCATTCGGAACCCAGGTCACCAGGAGGCAAAACCACAGCTCCCCCTGCAAAGACAAAGGACATAACCACAAACTCCCAGGCTCCGTCAGAGGTCTTGCCTACCACTGCTGGGCTCGGGAAACTACCATCCCACAGTCGCTCAGCAATCTTTTTCCTCCCGCTGAGAGGCAGGGGGTGCCTTGCTCTCTCCTGTTTTTGCCCGGCTAGCCTGCCTCAATTCCCATTTACTCACAGCCACTCCCCCGGCCTCACCGCTCCCTTTCTCCTCGTCTTCCTACTTCAACTCTTATTCAGGACCTCTCAGTCTCAGGAAAAGTCTTCCTCCCGTCTCAGGCCGGTTCCCCGGCAGCAGAGCCGAGGCGTGGGTTGCAGCAGGGCTCCTGGGAGCACCCTCAAGGAAGGACAGCGAGAAGGAAAGCGCAGGTGAAGGAGGTGGCTTCGGGGGAGGTGTATCCGCAGCCTGGTCCCGCCGGGGCTCTGGAGCAGCTGTTTCCCCTCGGAGCCTGACCTGCTGCCTTCCGTCCAGGCAGCGGGGCTTCTGCGTCCCCTCTCCGGGCACGGGGAGGGACGGGGGCAGCGTGCCAGCACACCTGGAGAGGAGGCTCCAGCAAGCCAAAGGCGGAACTTGATAGACGGTTGCACAGATGATGCCAAGAAAAAGCTTCCCCTTCGCCCTCCGAGGTTTCGCTGCAAAATCAATTCACAACAGGCAGGTTAATGGGAGAAAATGCTTACAAAGTTCATTAATGTGCACACAGGGACCATCACGGAGTGACTGCCCAGCTCCTGGTGGGGCGCAGAAGCTTCTATGCCGTCTTGAGGTTACAGAAGGAATGGGGGCCTGGATCCCGCAGGACAGGCTGTGGGGGTGGGGAGCAGAGGAGGCCTGGCTGGCAAAGGGGGCCTTGCTCTGCAGGTCAAGCCGCACGGGAGCAGCCCTCGGAGAGAACGGATGGAAAATGTTCCTTTCACACCTTTATGTTTTAGATTTACCATTTATTTTATTTTTTAATTGACAAGTGATAATTGTGCATACTCGGGTACACAGTGCTGTTTGGATACAAATAATGTATAGTGATCAGATCAGGGTCATTGGCATATCATCATCTCAAACATTTATCGTTTCTTTGCGTTGGGAACATTCGATGTCCTTCCAGCTACCTGAAAGAGTGGAGCATTGCTCTGGACTGTGGTCACCCTGCAGTGCTGTGGAACACCACTGCTTACTGGTCCCACCAGCTGTGATTCTGGATCCTCTAACACATCTGTCCCTCTCCTTTCCTTCTCCCACCCTTCCCAGCCTCCGGTGCCCTCTGCTCTGCTTTTTACTCCTATGAGATCAACTGTCTTCAGCTTCCACGTGGGAGTGAGGACATGCGGTGCTCACCTGTCACACTCTCCGTTCATCTCCCCCGATCCAGACCAGGAGGGCGGCAGAGGAAGCCTGTACCTCCCGGGACAAGGGTGGCTTTGCGGGGCTGGCTACTCCTGGCTGCAGCCCGCTGAGCAGCCACCACGAAACATGTCAAAGAACACATCTGGGGATGAAATAGTCTGCTCTCCCTCAAGTCACCGTCATCGCAGCACCTGAGCCGCGTGTGACAGCCTCCCCGGAGACTGGGCGTGGCCCCGCTGGCACCCACAGCGCCGTCCGCTTTGCTGCGTTCCATTCGCCTCGGTGGTTTCTCTTTCATTTCATTGCTTAGGCAGCAAGGGTGCAGAACTTGTCTTAAAAGTTGGCATCAGATTTTCTACCAGGGAAACACCTGCCTAGGAGAACACCTGGGCTGGCCTGTTATCGGGGCAGGTCGAGAGCTGGGGCTTTAGGGAGACGAGGAAACAAAGGGGAGCTGTGAGTAGGCAACGCCTGGAAAAGAAACCCACGTGGCCAGTAAGTTCAGAGAAAGGCTCCCAGCTGACGGCCGGCCGGTGTGGAGGACCAACGCCCTGCTCGCTTGCCTCAGGGCGGCACAGGCTTTGTGTGGAACATGCCCCAGAGCTCCCTGAAACTGCGTGTGGCTGACCTGGGTTGCCCGCTGCTATGGTTTGAGTATTTGTCCCCCCAAACCCAGGCTGAAACTTAATGCCCCATGTGGCAGTATGGAGAGGTGACTGGTAGAGCCCTCGGGAGTGGACTAATCCATTCATGGAGTCATGGAGTCATGACGGGTCAGTGGATGGATGGGTTATCAGGGCAGTGGGACTGGTGGCTTTGTAAGAAGAGGAAGAGAGATGGGAGCTGGCACGTGAGCACGCCCGGCCCCCTCACCATGCGGTGCCCTGCACGGCCCCGGGACTCCGCTGGGAGTCCCCGGCAGCAAGAAGGCCCTCCCCAGATGTGGTGTGTCCACCTTGGACTTGCCAGCCTCTGTAACTGTAAGAAACACATTCCTTTCTTTATAAGTCACCCAGTTTCAGGTATTCTGTTAAAAGCAACAGAAAGTGGACTAAGACACCTACTCTTTGAAGGACTGCATTTAAACTCCAGGGACCATGCCATCACTTGTTCCATCAGAAACACAATGGTATTGCTGTCTGAATTTTTAAAATAACGAATGCATAAACCTGCATGTTTACCTGTGTTTGCTATTGGACTTCACACTAAAATCCATCGAGATTTATTTTGTTGGTGCTATTGCTGTTATTATTTAATAGCTATTGGAGGAAGGAACAAGATAACGTGAATTTTTTTTTCTGGTATAAAATAGGGAGAATAACTGACATTCCTGACTGAAGTCTGGAGTTTCCCTGAAATACGAGTGACTTTTGGCTGGGGCTGGGGGCCTCCTGACTATGAGAAGAGCAGGACCCTCCAAGCTTTTCCTCTCGTGGTGCTCACAGAAAATGACAATATTTACACAGCACGAGGGGATCTGGGGACAGCCACATGGACTTGGTACACCGAATTACATTTTCTTCCTAGTACATCATAATTATGTCAAGAAGAATAGGATACGAAGAATCAGGGAAAGTATTTGATATTGACATTCTGTAAAACTTCCCAGCAGAATCTTTTGCAGAACTTTACTGAGAAATGTGGCTTGCTGTCCCAGACGTAGCTTGTCTCTCGGGTTTTGTGCCGTGAACGGTGCCACGTTCTTTTTCTGACTCCTCATAGTCACCCTCCGGGAGAAAACGTGTTCACGCAAATGGGTGATAAAAAATTGAAGGCCATTTTGCAAACCTTTCAAACATTTATAACACTCGGAATGAGGTTTAAATTGTCGAACAGCCCTTCCTTTCCTTTCACGGTGAAAGTTCTTACAATAAGGCAAATGGGTTTTGATTCCAATTGTACCTTTTGGCCCCAGGAGATTTTGCGTTGAGGAAGCTCTCCTCTGCGCATCTCGCACGAGCAGGTGCTCGAAGACAGTGGCCCCACTCACAGTGCCCATCGGCCAGGAACAGACAGGCACACCAAACGGGAAGGCAGAGATCGGGGCCAGGCCTCCTGGCCACCCCAACCCCAAACGGGGCTGCCCCTCGGGCTGCGGCGACCTGCTCCTTGGCCATCTGCAACACGAACTCCCCCAGCTGCGCATACCCTTGTCCGCCAAGCA